TGATGCATAACGGGAACAGCTAGAACAATAAAACGCAAGGCCAAGAAAGAGGGGATGAAATAATATCCTTAAGACTCCATAAGAATATATGTTGAAAACTCGGGTATCTTGACTGTTGATCCAAGCCGCTGTGCCAAGTCCGCGGAAACCATGTACGCCATCCCACAGCTTATCCAACACTTCAATTAGCCTCCTCTGCCTCTGCCTCTCCTGCCCCGTCCGCGTCCTCTTCCACGGCCTCTGCCTGGCCCTCCCCTCGCTGGTTTCGGAGCAGGAGATCCGCTCTCTGCGCTTTCACTCTCACTCTCCTCCGAGCCAGACTCCTCCTCCTCCTCCTCCTCCTCCTCCTCCTCCTCCTCCTCCGATTCGTCTTCGTCATCTTCAGAATTCTCTACCACCTTTTCCTTTTCAGATTTGGATTGACTAGCAGCTCTCTTGCGGCCCCTTGCGCCCTTTGTCGGCTTCAACGCTGGCGACGCAACGGAAGCAGCAGTACTGCTCTCGGCGCCTTCAACAGAAGGGCCCCTCGTCTTGGGCGCGGTGCTGGCTCGCGAACGCTTCTGGGGCGGAGGCGAGAGCTCCAGCTGGGGAGGAGACGAGGGTGCTTCGCTGGGATCCGCAATGGCGCGCTGCAGCATCATCTCGCCGAATTCGTGAAAGGGGAGGGAAAACTCGACATATCTGTCCTCTGCTTCGTCGTCGTCAAAGTATTCTCGGTCGTCGATCAGGTCGAGGTCGTAATATGTCCGTAGCTTCTCCCAGATGTGGGGGATGCGCGTGTGGCGATGGATGTCGGGGTCGATGCCGTGGTTGCGCAGGTGTTCCGATATTGCTATCATTCGAAAGTGTTTGTGCATCCCTAAGGTGAGAGCATCTTGAATCAGCACAAGAGCACTTGAAGCGTCAACGCGATGGGCACCACGAACCAGCAGGTTTCCAGCGAATGACGCCCTTGAATAGTGAAGAGATTTGGTCGTCCGTCCAGAGATTATCGTACGGGGTGACCGGTATGATGGGCTTAAACGCCGAAGAGAGGAAGCCTGGCGTGCCACTTATCCGAGGAGAGTCAATGTCCATGGCACTGTCTTCTTGGATGGTGGTGGGCGTCGAGGACATCTGGAGGCGCGATCGCTTCTTCGGAGGCATTGTGGCGCAGATTCGAGATTATTAAGAGGTTAAAAGTAAGGTAGTGAAAAGAAATGGTAAGTAAAAAAAGGAATTGATCCAATTCTAATACAGCATTGGGTGACAATGTTGAGGACAGATAAGAAAAAAAGCTGGCGATGGAAGAAGAGTTGAAGCTAGAGCGCTCCAGCGTTGGTACGAGAAAGTCAAAAAGCATTGATCCATTGAGCATGAGATCATTAGGTAGCTGTTGAGCCGCTAAGCTGCAGGGTGGGGTACACGCTGACAGCCCTGGAGCTCAGTACTGCTGGTGCCTTACAGGTGCTCCATGCTCTAGCGCGTGCTCCGTCCGTAGATATCAACACCTCAGACTTTTGTTCGTTTGGAGTCTTCATCGACAACGCGGATGGCCTCCGCTGGCGCGTCTGCCGTACCTTGTCCTCTATGCATCCATCGCTGAACCTGCTGTGAGCCATGGCCAGCGATGGCTCTGAGGAATACGTCTTTGCCATTCCCAACTTCTGGCGGCCGTCAAAGCTGCTGCTGGGCCTGGAGGCAGAAGCACCGGCAAGCTTCTTTTCTAACGATCTCACAAGTAAGCAAATGGTTCGCGATCTGCTCTTCCCTTTGGTGATGTTATATCTCAGAAGCTTACCTATTGTCTTTTTTCTTGTGGCCAGATGCTCTGTCCAGCCCAGACTCGGATCCCTTCGCCCTCGACCCCATAACGCCAACCCACGATGGCTTCTTCAAGCTCGTATCAGTCCACGACATCCCCACGGGTTTTGCCGAGGCAATCGACAAAGAGGCGCCGGATGCCTCGCCAAAGCCTACAGATGAACCGGACAAGTCATTTGAGGGCCTCTCTGTGGCCCTCGACAGCGATGATGATGATCAAGACATGCCTGATATATGGCTAGAGCCAGGAGTGCCCGCCAAACCGAAACCTCCATATAGAACGTGGGATATCTTCTTATCCGGAGATACGACCGCAACATATCAACCCATGATGGTTACCGAAGCTGGCCCAGCTGCGTACGACGCTTTGCTATTCTCTTCAAGCGACCCTCTCAAGCTCAGGAACGTTGGCGTCCCTGTGGTTGATACGAAGACGTATTTGTCTTCACTGCTAGCTTTGGCACTTGGTGGAGAATCTGTTCTCTTTACTAGAAAGGACGGCACTCAGACCCTCAAGCCTTCGCTTCCTAAAATGAGAGCCTCGGGGTACTCTAGCAATGTCCTACAGGCGCTCGAGAATAAGTGCCTTAGATGCGGGAGCACCTTGATAAGCCTGCGCGCCTTTGTGCATTCCGCATACTCGGAACACCCAAGCCGATGCGGTGTGGCCCTTGCCAGCACTGTCAGCCAGGTCTTACAGGTTGTTCAAGAATGGGTAGCCTTTAATGGGCGGAATCCTCGCTCGCTTCTGCAGCTTCAATCCACCGTCAACTCCATGGTAGCCATTCTGCGGCCCTTCAAGGCGCTCACATCACAGCTGCGCCATGGTCTTACGGATGAGGACATTCTGAACCTCGTGTTTCATCAAGCATATTCGGTGGACAGCAACGAGGAGTACCTCCGTCAGATCATGCGAGAAGTACTGCGAAGAGTCTCTGGCCCCTGGATCGAGTTTCTCGAAGAGTGGATCGGAACAAGACGTGAGCAAGGACTGCCTTTTACCAAGGCCAACCTTGGAGAAAGTAAGGGGTTTGTCAAGGTCGAGGCACGAGTCTTTCGGGACGATTTCGGCCGAGAGCTCGCAGAGGTCGACTACGTCCTAGACGCGGGCAAGATGCCGCGCTTTATGCCCGACGATGTGACGGAGACGATATTTGAGACTGGACGCAACTTGCGGTTTATCCGCACTTTCCATGAAGACCACCCACTCGCTCAGCAGGATATCATTGCGTCCAGTGATCCTCCTCAGGCCAAGTGGCTTTATGACTGGGACGCCATACTGCGCCTTGAGAGTCACGCTGTTGAATACCGCGACTATCTGGTCGACGCCATCCAATCAAGCCGCCCCGACTATTCTTATGACCCCATGGAAATATCCATCTATTCATTAGGGGGCAAGCCCGGCTCCGTCCTTACTTACTTTGGGCTGGATCAGGTTGGCATGGAAGAGCATATCGCTGCGTCCATTGAACAGTTTGCTCAGCCAGTTGCCACACACGACGCAGAGGATCCCCTCAGCAGGATTGTGCGCGATAGACTCTGCGGAACACATGCATCAGCCATTGAGCTCTCCAACTCTACGCCGCACTGGACTTTGCTTCCGGTTCTTTCGTTTGGCGTTATTGCCTCGGCACAGGCCCAAGTGGTCAACAAGGAAACCCTCAAGCTCCTATTTAGTGCACACAATCTGCGAGACCATCTAAAGTTGCAACGAGAGTTTCAGCTTCTCGGAAATGGCAATCTCTGTAGCCGTCTCTCTCATGCTCTATTTGACCCCGATATGGAGTCGGCGCAAAGGAGACCAGGGGTCGCAAGGAGGAGCAATGTCATGGGCCTGCGGCTGGGGGGACGCGACAACTGGCCCCCAGCAACTTCGGAGCTGCGATTAGCATTGATGGGCATACTCTCCGAATGCTACGGCGCTAATGAAGACGGCACGAAAGTTGTCCGGAATGAACGCATTTTTGACAAGGAGGTTTCTGGCTTGCCAGGCAACATGAGCTTTGCCGTGAGAGACTTGTCTGACGAGGAAATCAACCAATGCATGAACCCCGACTCCCTCGAAGCCTTGGACTTTCTTCGCCTTTCCTATACGGCGCCGCCGCAGCTAAGCCCCATCATCACGCCAATGAACCTGATGCAATACGACTACATCTTCAAGCTCCTGTTGCGAGTCCTGCGCATGATATTTGTTGTCAACCAGCTTTTCCGCGACGCCAACTCGTTGGCTCGCGAATGGGAAGATCCCGGCGACGCAACGCTCCGCTTTGTAAGAGAAGCGCAGCATTTTGTATCCAGTGTGTCTGCGTATTTTCTTGATACAGGCATTGGTGTTCCTTGGCGAGTGTTTGAAAAGAAGCTGGACAAGATTGAGGCGGATCTCCACCGACCAACTACGAACAGCTCGTCAGAAGAAGTCCAGAACCCTGACAAACTGCAGGAGCTTCATTCTCTCGTCCTAGATCGAATCATGCTGGCTTTATTCCTGCGAAAGAAGCAGCAGCCAGTACTGAAGCTACTAGAGGACATTTTTAATAATATTTTGCGATTTGCCAAACACATAAGGCTACAGCGGTTGGGGGTAGAAGATGATCTCGACCCGGCGACTCTGTACGCAGAATTCAAGAAGAAGGTGCAGATTTTCATCACAGTCTGTCGCAGCCTATCAGAGAAGGCTCGTCGCACAGATGGTAAGAGAGGGAGGGAAGACAGGATATTCAAGGAGCAATACGGGACTGGCGACGACAGCATGGTGGCCCAGCTGCTGGTCAAGCTGGACATGTTTGATTACTATCTCAAGCGGCAGTAGGTAGTTACTCCGTAGTATTGCTTCGATAAGCCATGATAGTAGATGAAGAGAAAGAAGTTATCAAAATGGTATGAAAACAATGACAAACGCACAATTCGAATAAAATGATTCCTTGACACTCAATTACCATTCGGTGCTCTACTCTGTTGGTCATATCATTTATTCTTTGCTTGTATAAACAACAGCGTTGAGCTGCCCCTCCATTGACCGCCCGCCAAAAAGTGACATTTTTGCCCCTCATCGCGTGGAGACGCGATCGAGAGACAAGCCCACAGTAAACAATAACGATGCGGCCAGCATATCGGCGCTGGATCCTGTTGTCTTTTTGACCTTTCCCATCTTTCCTGCTCCCTGAAGCCATTCGCCTCCTATACTCTGCCATTGCGCAATGTCTGGACAAAGCGTCGCGCCGCAGCGCAGTCTGAGCTTGACGGAAGAGCTGGAGAAGCTGGAGCAATCCATTACTCTGACGCTGCAAGGTGGGTTCAGCAGTTCTCTGACAGAGCAATTCCGCTGTCCGTGTTCCAGGGAGCTGATGGGCATTGCAGAGATTGATCACAATTTCAGCAAGGCACATAGAATCGTCACAACGGGCATCTTACCGCTGGTGGAGCAGTATGGAGAGCACTCGCGGGCTGTTTGGGAAGCATCCAAGGTATGGCAATGGCTTCAGCGGCCGCCTCGACAATTGTATACTAATCGCTGCCTTTTGCCAGTTCTGGAAGCAGTTTTTCGAATCGTCCGCAAACGTGTCTCTTTCCGGGTATGAAGACCAGGCAAACGAGAACCAAGACGAGACGAGCGCCGCCGAAGACAGCAGCGCCGTGCGAGACGAGATGACAATTGACGTAACGGCCGACCTAGACGAAGAAGCAACAAGGGTCAGCGGCGCGGGGCACCACTCGGCACTGCATGGCGACGAGTCGATGCTGGATGATGCCGAGCTGGCTGGAAGCACGCCTCGTCCTCCACCGAGCCAGACCAATAAAGCCAATGTCTCCCAGCTCGAATCTCCTTACGAGGCCATGCGGCGGGAGATGATTGATGAAGAGGGCGTTACAATGAAAACGGAGGATTCAGATCAGGAGGATTCTTCCGTCCTGTTTGCGCAGCATACGGCACGGCTACCTGATATATCAACGACGCCAAGAGGTCTGCCCAACCCGCAAAACAGAGACGGCTCGGTCCAGCGCCACAAGGATCCGCTACTACATCGCGTCCTCGACAAGACGTATCGCCTACAGGCTACGCCTCACAAGTCGGGTGTTCGAATATCTCCCATTAAAGGCAAGCAACCGGAGCTGCCACCGCCGCAGCAGAGAGACGTGCCAATGTGGCAGGACGATCCCATGTCGTCTCCCGAGATTGCCGTTCCAACACTACGAAGCGAAGCCTTCATGTCTCCATACAAACGACAGCGCCTGGCAGCGGCAAGCCAGGCTCCTAGAACCCCTGGTGTCAGTGTGCAGACACCCGCCACCGCAAAAAAGACCAAGGACGTGTTTGCCTTTGGAGAAAAGACGCATGAGATTGACTGGGAAAGCGATGACGATGACAATCTAGGCATGAGCCCGCCCAAGACAATCCAGTTTGCACTGCCGCCCTCGAAATTGCTCCAGACGCCGGGTAAGTTATCTCTGGAATTTTGGTACCTACAGACTATGACCATCTGAAAGTGGCTAACCCACCGTCTCTGTTTTTCAAATACAGCACGAGAAGCTAGTAGGAGGATCGTAGACGATATCCTCATAGACGCTGGGGCGGGAGCGGACTCTTCCGAAATCAGTCCGTCATTGGTGAAGATGAATGACGATATTCTCAATGAGAGCTTCTAGATGGGATAGAATGGACAAGGAATGTCACTGAAATAATCGATATACCCCTTTTTTTCTCTTTTTTTTTTCTTTTTTGTCTTTGTGAGGAGTAGAGATATTCTCATAAAGAGATGTATCTTTGCAGCCATAACTGGCCGCTAATCGTCACCGTGGTCGCCGGGCCTAACCATGTCAGTTACATTCTTGGCCTCCCTTGAAGCCCAGACTAGAGTGAGCTCTATGTTCTCAAAAGTCATGTTTGTGCCCGTAATACACCCTTTACGCCCTCTCGGACATCTTCATCGACGCCAAGAGCCTCTCAATCGTGTGGCATTGCCATCTCATCACCATCATGGGGCTCCAACTGCGCGTCAAAACTACACGTGAGCGTCTTCCCGCGTCCCCTCCCCCAACCCCAAACAGAGCCCCAACATTAGACTGACAAAAGTCCAGATCCTCTGCACAAAGGCAAACAAAACTCGACCGCGCCAACAGACGACAAACTGCAATTCCGATGCCAACATTGCTGCTAGAGGAGGGGGGCTGGCCCGAAGTTATGCAAGGGGGGTGAAACCTGACAACTCGTTTTTTTTTGTTTTTTTTTTTGTTTTGCTTTTCCCTCATTCAGCTGGGCAGTGTTTAATTAGCTGGCAGACGTCGGCGAATGATGTAAGACTGAGTCTCGAGGGCCGCCCTGAGTGTATGCGTGATGGCTATTGGCGAGCCGCTTTCCGCTCTACACGCCACCGCTTCAGTCATTGATGCCACTGTCTCATCCATCCATCCCACCCTCCCGCAGTATCTCATTCACTATATCATCCTGCTGCTGCCGCTCTTCTTCCACTTCACCTCTTCCTCTTTCTCTTTCTCCTCATCTGCCTTTTATCCTTCATTCTTCACTCCTTGACCACACGTGCCAGTATGACTTGCGATAGCATGATTGCTCCGACGGATCCTCAGATGGATCTTCAGATGGATCCTCCGATCGATCGTTACGCGGCTGAACGCCGTCGCTTAAAAGCAATGTCCAGACCCTTTCTCAACGACGAGCTCATGAGGGGGCCGCCCCGATTCCGGGGCGAAGACTACAGGCAACCGCGGCTCCGCCGTTGCACTTTTGATCCGAAGACGATTGTTTTCGAGTGTCGACTTGGAGGCGGCGACGACGGCTTCGTTTGGAAGGTCAGATTCAACGGCGCCGGACCGTTCGCTTTGAAAGTTGTGAGTCACCACTCATCTCACTGTTAACCAGCTCTCACTGACGATGCGACTTTCAACAGTTTTGGGACCAGGTGCCTCCCCGGGAGTTTGGGTCGTACTACCCGATGCAGCGCGAGTGCCAAAATGCCGCCGTCCTCCAGATGATGGGGGCCGCCCTGACGAACGCCGCAGTGCTGATTTGCGAACGTCCCCTTGGAAGAGTGGACGCCAATGACAACTATTTCGCATTCACCGAAGAAAACGCCATCGCTAAGCTTGGTGTGAGTGCAGACTCGGAGACGCTGCCTGAAGGCGCCAAACTGATCACGGAGATGCCACGCATGGTCGAATGCTACGGCTGGATCAAGTTCCCTAGCGACATGTTGGAAGGACTCTCCAGCAACATGCAGGCCACGCACGACGACCCGCACAAGGTCAGGAAGCTCGTGGGAAGCCATATGGACTGCATCGCGATTGTCTACGAGTTCATTGAAGAGGGCCAAAACAGCATGGTGAAGGTGGGCAAGGTGGACAACTTCCTCTGGTATGCGGGCTTTGCCTACGCGAACGAGCCGGAGGAGAAGAGCTGGAGGAGCAGCGTCTTGGTTGACCACTCTGAGATTGTTCACCTTCGTGGATATGGGTGGAATGAGGAGGATTACATGGACAGGAGTGCTGAGCAGATCATTACCGATGTAGACTATGTAGACTATTAGTTAGAACCTAGTGATGATCTTTCTGGGTCTTTCGAGGCTGTCGATGGATACCATCGTATCATCGACGGCCTGTATTTATGAGTGCGCTTGAGTTTGGCCCATAGGCTGCCAGGACATAATGGATCGTGTAGGGAATGGCATGGGCAGGGTTGCTTGGGAAAGCGACATGACTGTGCAACCAGATTGTCATAGTAACAGCACTAGTCGGCGCCAATTGAAAACTTGTTTTGCTATTTGAATTGATACTACTACTCTCTCTGATGATGATCGACAAGGCTTTTTGTTGAGCCATGTGTGAGTCAAGTAGGCTTTACTCTATGCATCTCTCTGCTACAGTAGAAGTAGAACATGGAGCGTCCAAGGCGGCATCACGAGCAGAATGCCTGGCACCTGTGGACTTGTTCGAGACCGTGTTGGTGCCAAAATGTCTCTGGGGTCTGCTCCACGGCTTGGGGATAGGAAACATGACAGCGAATGTCTCACGTCGAGTGGGCAGAATCCTGAGCTGGCATCGATTCTAGGCTCTTATCCTGCATCGGCTTCGAGCAGTTCCGTGTCTTAGTTGGCTTTTCTTTTCTTTTTTTGCAAAGTCAGCTGCTCCCCCGACGTGTATCAAGTCTTTTCGAATGATATCACTACCGCCCCCTATTGTCGTTTGCGATTGGGCACGGAAAAGGTCGGTGTGACGGATATCCAATGGGATCGAGTCTCTGCCAAGGGAGATGGAGGCGTCCAGGATACTCCGCGCCATTGGCCAAGACGGCTCCCGCGTTGTGCTCATGTGGTGCAAAAGCTGAGTGTTCCCTTGCATGAGTTGATAGGGGCTTGCGTGTGCCGTCTTTGGGTCCGGAGTCTTGGCTTTTGGAATCGGAATGTTGAATAATGCAAGCCAGCATATCAGACGCCAATGTGCATAATCATAATACAGAAAATGATGAGTTGTTCAGGTAGAATAGGCTCTGTCTACTATTACTGATGGTAGCGGTAGTAGAAGAGAGTAGTGGTGGTAGAAGACGGCTGCCGTAGTAGAACAGAGCAGCGTAGTAGAAGATGGCAACGGTAGCAGAAGATGGTAGTCTGTCATCACATATTTCAAGCGGGGATTTCATAAGATTCAAGCCTCTCTCTCTCTCTCTCGCTCCCTTCGAAGTACTCCTCTCATGCGGCCATAGAGGCCTTCATCTTCCCGCTCCAGAGGCGCTCAAGCATTACTCTCAACTAGCAAAGTCGCAATCGATGAGAACGCGGACCAAGAAGGGTTCTTTCTATCCTCGTTGAGCATGAGATTGTTAACGGATGTGTCTCTGTATAGAATTTCAATTTTGTGTAGAGATTCGTGCCCCCCCCCCCTGGAAGTACATATGTGGTCTTCGAGTGCCTTGAGCAGAACTGGAGTGGTGCTCGCCTTTTACATAGCTTTTCCACAATCCCGAACGATGACACGCCTGTGTACTCAATTTGCCAATGCCTCTTTTGCTCATTCTGCCCGTTGGCAACGTTTGCCGTGTTCTCATTTACGGGGAGGGCTACCAGGTTGACTAGGAAGAGACCGCTTAGAACCAGTAGTTCTGCCACCATCACCATCATCAGCCGACTGAGACGATGGCCCCAGCTAATAGGTTTTCGCGTCTCTGGAGATCAGACCCTGGCGAATGTTGCCGTGAATTTCATCGATTTGTGATCGGATGCAGACGGTTTCATGATGGTAAAACTGGGCAACGTTGACAGCGCCTTGATCAGTCGCCTCTTTGAGCGGCCCCCCCCTATTCGTTGCCATCTGTATACTGCCATGGGTCCTTGATTACAAGCGTCGTCTGGGGGCCCTCTTCCGTGTGAGCCCTTTAGCAAGTGGTAGCCCGGCCGGAGACACAAAGTGCTCGCTTTATTGGCTCATCGAGTATGAGCCGCTTCGTCTTTCCATTCCTCTAGATCGTGACGATTCGTCCATCACCCTCGAAAATGATAGTAGGATCGAATGCTAGTTGTTCTTCATCCATCGATAGAAACCCAAGAATTGTAGAAACAAAGCGCAGCCCGGCTTCACTGTCTTTGTTAATGTCAGATGCGATCGCTCCAAGACGGCCGAATTCCCAAATGCTCATCAACGAGCCGCAAAGTTGTGAAGCCCAGCACAAAACGGCGAGTATCTTGAACAACAAGAACCCCTTTTGCGTATCTTGCCAAGTCAGTCCATGCCTTGGACGGTTTTTCGTCCAACGGATTACTCTTTAGTTCCCTACTAGGTAGGCATAAGAATCCGGGACCAAGTGTGTCCAGCATTCCCTACGGCGCTTTGATCCTTCACAAACTGTTATTTTAGACTCCAGAACCTTCCATCTCTGCCTGGAAGAGTGCATTTGAGAATGCGTTGGCACAGAAGCAAGCCTCCAGCTATAATGAGTTGGCAAAGTAAATAACCACCTTTCATCGAGCTGCTTAAGCAAGCAGCCGTTTGTTGAGCTGATAGCTCGAGTTGGAACTATATATTCCAGTAAAGTAGCTAAACCGTTGCTTGAACCATCTTGCACCTTTTGTTTTCTCAAGTCCTTGGTCAAACCCAACATCTAGCTTATGTTGTGCTGTAGAACAGCCAATTGGTGTCCTGGGCTGCACCAGTGGTCTGCGTTGGGGAGAAGCACTTGACTGTCGTGTTCTGCTAATGTTGTTTGCTCGTTGCAAGTTTCGGTGAACCAGTCCAATATACGATCTTGATTTGTGTCCTTGGGCCGCCCGCGACATTCATCATCAGGGCTGGATAGGGGGCTGTCGCCTCCTGGACACTTGTCGAAGACGGTTTACGATGCCGCCATGAGGCCGGCCACATCACCAAAGAAAACCTTGTGGAATCGAGAGAGACCGACGTACATAGCGCCCTAGTTCTTCTCGAACGGCTTTATCTACATCTCTGAGATACTCAGAAGAATTCGCGAGGCTGCTTACGTTGCGGCTCCATGGTAGCTGTTGTAATTAAAGCGAGCAAGATTGGGTAGGATTGGGGCTTCGACAGAGCTATAGCAAGGTCTAAAGCGGTAGTTTGGAAAACGAATTCCAGCCAGAGAGGTGTATGTTCTCCTTTTGGCCAACGCGATATAAAAGATTCGAAGAATACATGTGTCTTCCTGGTCCAGTTGGTCGAGGGGGGCAATTCCGACGCATCTGGTACATGTGCGATATCTCTTTCTACAAGGAGAGACGAAGGAGGAACGAAATCCATCGAGGCCATTTCCTACCTATAGGGTTGCTACCGGTGATTTTCTCCCGGTTTTTCATGGTGACCAAGCCACACCCAATTGCGCCTCAAAGAGAGAGAACGGCGGAGGTTGGCAGCTATAAGTTTGGCAGCTTGCTCAGTAAAAGTGAAGGCCTAATATAGTGTATAGTTGTCTCGATGCATGGATGCAATCCTACTTATACCGGGTAGACCCTCTAGATCATTTGTAGTTTTGTGACTAGTTGATAATGCTTGAAACAAAAGTGATGATAAGACTTTGTAATGAATATCTAGAGAATATGTAGAAAAATAGTCATAGCAAAGAACAAAGGGTTGAAAAAGCAGAAGCTTTCATCTGCTCGATACATATCATGCCGCGTAAAATCATCGTCTAGCCCCAACTCCATGCCGCATCCCTTGAGCGCTTCTATATTAAAAAAACCAATGGCATCCCGCCTTATGCTGAAAGAAGATGAAAAAGAAACCAAGGACGAATGTAGCGGGACAGCACCCGCATGCTCCTGGCGCTAATTCCAAAACCTCACAGGAGGCATCAGAGTCTCGTTTGGTTTGGCAAGCTTTGATGCTTGCCTAGAAGAGCTGCTGTTGTTCTTGTCTCCCAATAGGGCTCTCTTTTCTGTTGCAACGGAGGAGATGGAAGCAGTTTCGCTCCGGTCATCCCCTCGTCGCTGGCTGTGGAGAATGCCGCCAATTCTCTGGCTGAGGGAAGACGAAGCCTTTTCAGACTTGGATTCGTGATCCTTGTTGATCTTCTTGCCCAATGAGGGGCCGGGTCGTTCAGCCTTGCCGATTGAAAGGCCGCCGTGATGTCCGATGAGAGACATTATGATGGAAGATTGGTTTGAGCTGTTGTTTATTGTTAGTCGGGTTATGCTTTCATAGCTTGTATTAGTTGTGAGGTTGAGTAGGTGTGCATACAGATTGGAGTGGATTGGTTGAATTGTGGAGGGTGGTTGATAAACAAGCTTTGTTGTTTTAGTTTTCAGAGTTGGAATGTTGCTTTTGTTTGTTTGTTTGTTATTGTTGTTATTGTTGTTGTTCTGATTGATGTCTGCCTGAGTTGGCCACAACAACCAGGCATCAGCCAGTCTATATATACACAACCAGGCGTCCATGAGACTTTGTCCTTGTCCCGTCCGGCAACATCTCGAGCCATTGGAAAAGCCTAGTTGCGTGTGCTTGGCCCACATTCCACATCATGGCCACGATGCTAGCGTCAGCAGGTTGTTCGGCGCCAGAAAAGTCTTCCAGCAATACGCACCCATCCAAGCGTATTGTCCCTGCTTGAGATGGTGTGCGTGCCGGACTCCGTAATGCAGTCACACACCACTAGCCTGAGCATGGCCTGGGGCACAGCCTGTCCAATTGACTCATTGCGCGGGTCAGCCGTTGCGCGTAATGGATCCCAGGGCCAAGAGAAGCTTGTTCGTCCCCCTGAGCCAGCCTTGTGGGGGAGGGGCCGGGGTGGAGATGGGCCAACGAAAGATGATGACGAGTTCTGCCTGAAGAGGAGGATTTGGATGGCTCAGGCAGACATCGTTGATGGCCAATGATGGAGTACTTGTATGGATGCGTTGAATGACCACGCGGCACTTGCTGCAGATGAGGCATTGCTTTTGTGAGCCTTGGCTAAATCGACATGTCCAGAAGCTTCTGCGTCTTCTGCAGCTCTGTAGATAGGAGACGATGGCTTCTAGACGCATTGCTTGTCAGTCACGGTGGAAGCTTCGCCTCATCCCTTGATCTCACAGTTACCAGATTCACATCCACAATCAAAGTAACATCAACTCGTTCATTTCCCATCGTGACTCCAAGACCTGCTCTGTTAATTAAAAATCCATGTAATTCACGCCTATTTGGGAGAGGACCAGGCTTCATGTTGGCAGTGCCCGGCTGAGTCACCGTTCACAAAACAAAAGCCACGTTTTCCCCTTTGATGGAGAGAGACTGGAATTGGATGCGCTAGTGGTGATGCTACTGCTCTGGACGAGTAAGAGTAAGAGAACCAAACGTTTGGAAGCCCGTGATTCTTTTTGCACCAGAACTGAAATCTCGGGTAAAGCCGCCGGTGACGACACTGTGCGCGCACGCTGATACGTGTGCGTTACGCGGACCTCTCGTCAGCACGGCGTACCTCTGCAGCCAATTTGATATGACGAGATACTTGGTGCGTGCAAGCTCGATAGGTACATTTCTCTAGCCTGTATTTCCCCGACATTGGACCTGCAATTGCACTTTCCTTCTGCTGAATCACATACTATCTCCATGTGATCTGTTTCGGCGCCCGAGAATATCCGTAGCGAGCCGGTCAGAAATGATTTTCTTTTTTCCTCTTGCAACTACCTAGTAGGTATTTCGTGCAAAAGACACAGCCATGTAACGCGGAAGAACTGGGTGCAGCACATCGTGACTCTTTTCATGCAGCCTGCAATTTCGTTATGACTCCCATTCTATTGTCCTAAACCCTAACCGGTTGGGCACGACTCCATCCGCTCAGCGGCTTTCGACGCGATTTGCTGAAGTCGATACAAGCGCCCCATGACCCCTGCTTGGGTTATCAAGGGCCAGAGTCATCACGGGTCAAATCGCAGCCAAGCGAGAAACCTTATGTTCAAAAAACTAAGAAGCTTACGCAGGGCAGAGGATGCCGTTCCGTCGTGGATGAGAAAGGGAAATCTACGAGGGTGGATCGAGCATCAGCACCGAAAAGAGTAACAGTGAAACCGCGGATGAGTGGCTTGTGCCGACTAGCCTGGTAGCCGTTGTCAATCGCTGGGATCTCGCACAGAACATGTGTTTGAGCACAATACAGTTGCTTCGACTAACCACTACGCCGAACTAACGATGGTTATCAGCAAGTATCTGCTCCATGATGGGGGTCATCAAGCAACGAGCTCTTGGACTATCCTCGCGCATTTTCTATTTGCAAAAATCGACGTTGGCATCTATATAAAAAGACAATTACTAGCAAAAGACAAAAAATGTTTGGAAATTGCCAAGCCCCAGATATTCCCTATCTAGGCATCTTTCTAATCTTGCAATGCAATACCTCGTCAAAGAATTCTTGAACATCGCCAATCCTCCTAGAATACTGTCTTTGTTCATCACTCCGCAGATTCTAGTTCTAGTGTCATGCGGAGTGCTCCAAGCAATTCATTCAGCGCTAGCACTGGCGGGGCGATTCATCGCATCTTATCGATATCCAGCAGCTTATCGCTATCAGTCAGAAAAATTTCCCAGTTCACTCTCAAATTCTGCCACTGAGCGGCGAGCGCAGAACTGCCACGACAAGCCATCATGGAGGACCAAGCGCATAAGCCGCATCGCAAGAGCAAGGAGAAGAAGGAGAAGAAACACACCGGGGGTAAGTGGTTCTTGGAATTGGAGTTTGGGAATTGCCAGCCAGCAATTGCTATACGGACCGGATGTTGACCTTTGGCAGAGCGCAATCCCAAGGCGTTTGCCTTCTCCAAGCCCGGCAAGCTTCAGAAACAGGCTGCCAGATCGTCTGATGTATGTTCCTGTCCCAACATCCTTTTCGAATGCCTGACGATTGATCAATCTCTCCATTGGAGCATTCTTGATACCTACCCATATGCTAACTGCCTCCCAAGATCAAAGAAAAGCGTCTCCATGTTCCCCTTGTCGACAGACTTCCTGATGAGGCGCCGCCGCGTCTCGTCGCCATTGTCGGCCCCCCGGGCGTCGGCAAGACGACTCTGATGAAATCGCTCATCCGACGATATGCCAAAGAGACAATCTCAGACCCCCAAGGCCCCGTCACCGTCGTCACCTCGAAGAAACAGCGGTTAACCTTTGTGGAATGCCCCAACCAGTTGGAAGCCATGGTGGACATCGCCAAGGTGGCCGACATCATCCTTCTCATGATTGACGGTAACTATGGCTTCGAAATGGAGACTATGGAGTTTCTCAATATCCTAGCCGCTACGGGTATGCCGGGTAACGTGTTTGGCGTCTTGACCCATCTCGATCTGTTTCGCAAACCTGCCGCTTTGAAGGATGCCAAGAAGCACCTAAAGCGAAGGTTGTGGACTGAGCTATACCAGGGTGCCCATCTTTTCTATCTCTCTGGAGTTATGAACGGCAGGTATCCTGATCGCGAGATTCACAATCTGTCCCGATTCCTATCCGTCATGAAGAGCCCGCGACCCCTCGTCTGGAGAAACTCCCACCCTTACGCCATCATCGACAGTTTCCGAGACATTACTCACCCAACCAAGATTGAAGAGGATCCCCAGTGCGATCGATCCATCGTTCTATCGGGATATCTGCGAGGAACAAACTTCTCAACCCAGGGCCAGCGAGTGCATGTTGCCGGCCTAGGAGACTTTACGGTGTCGGCTATGGAAGTGTTGCCAGACCCTTGTCCTACCCCAGCGATGGAGCAGGCCTTGGCCAAGATCACTGGAAAGACGGGGCGGAGGAGACTGGACGAAAAAGAAAAGAAGCTTTACGCCCCCATGTCTGATCGGAGCGGTCTCAAAATCGACGGTGATGCCATCTGGATCACTAGAGAAAAGGGCTTCACTTTTGACAAGGATGCTGATAATACCGAACGTGGTGAGGGCGAAGAGATGATCATTGGACTCCAAGCTGAGCGAAGACTTCTTGGCCAAACAGAGGATGGTGTACAGCTATTCAGGGGAGGCCAAGAAGTCAAGGCACTGGATGAGGTGGAAGATACCGGCAGAAAAGAGCCACGAAAGGCCAGAATTGCCGAACGGGAAGAAGAGGATGACGGCGAGAATGAGGATGATGAAGGCTTCGTCAGCGGGAGCGACGGGGAGGATCCCGATGAGGAGGAAGAATTTAACGAGGGAAAGTTGGGTAAAATGTTCCGCAACAAAGATGCCGACAAAGAGATCAACGGGGATGATGATGTCGCATTTGCGGACAGCGACTCGGACCTTGGCTCCATTACAGACCTGGATGAGGATGCGGAAGACGATGAAGAGTACGACTCTGATGAGGAGACTGCAGCCCTCAGATGGAAAGAAGGCATGGCCGACAGAGCCATGAAACTTCACTCCCGGAAGCGCACATATCACACCGCAGATTTGGCTCGCTATCTTTACGATGGCTCCATGACTGCCAGCGAGGTGATCAAAAAATGGAAGGGTGAAGAAGACGAATCAGAAGAGGAGGACATTGAACAAGACTCGGAAGACGAAGAATTTTTCAAAAAGACATCACATGAGAGCGAAGATCTGGTAGAAGACCGGTCAATACCAGAGTATGACTACGAGGATTTGGCAGCCAAGTGGGCTTCTCAAGAGAACATTGAAGCCCTAAAGAAGAAGTTTACATCAGGAAGGAGAAGCGGAGGTGGAGGCGGAGACGACGACGACGACGAGGATGGTGAATTCGGTGGCTTCGATGACGACGAGGATGGAAATGGAGATGAGGGTGACGAGGACAGCGAAGGCGATGGCGAATTCGAGGACCTGGAAGCCGACCCCCAAAGTGCGCCCCAGCAGCAGACAGCGGAAGAGATCCAGTCGGAGCGTGAAAAGAATGCCAAGAGGAAAGAGGAGCTCAAAGCAAGATTCGAGGAGGAGGACCGAGACGGCTTCATGAACGACAAGGCAAAGGCTCGTCGAGAAGGAGGCGAAGAGGAGCAAGAGTTTGGCGAGGATGACTGGTACGATGCGCAAAAGGCCATGATCAAGAAGCAGCTGGACATCAACAAGGAAGAGTTTGAAAACCTGGACGAGCGCCAGAGGGTCGCCGTCGAGGGCTACCGCGCCGGCAAATACGCCAAGCTGGTGCTCGAAGGGGTTCCGGCTGAGTTTGTCTCGCGCTT